AAGAGAAAATGCTGCTAAGCACATCGATGAAGAAAGAAATTGATTTTTAATTGTATTTTCTAAGATATGGGCAATTTAAACATAGAAAATGTAAATGAAGTGACGTCTACTAAGGAATGATTTTTAAATCATCCAAAAAATATAGAAAGTCAAGAAAGAGGACATTATTCTTTTTGTTACATTGGAAAAAGCATTTTCACCTCTCAATTGTTACTATCATGATTGATGATTTGAGCTCTTCAACCAAGAACAACATTATACAAACAATGTAAAAACAGGACCAATTTCTTAGTTGACGTCACTTCATTTGCATTTTTGAATTTTTAAATGTCTATAACTGAGAAAATTCAAAATCTATTTCTTTCTTCACAGAAGTGCTTGGCAGCGTGTTACCCTTTGGATAAAAGTGATTTTCTAAAAGGTGTCATGTTCATAAGCAGTATTCAAAGGTTTCTAAATAGCTCTATACAGCTATGTGGTTATCATTATCGTCATGTATTTAAACTAATCAGCAAAAAGTGCGTAGATATCAACGCACACCTGTCCTTGATTGTTTCCTTCGTTCCAATTCTTCAGATCCTCACCGTACCAAATTTTCAAGATGCCTCCCTGTACGAGGTAGAAAGGTGTTGCAAAGTCGGTGAAGACAAGCTCATTGGAATGCCTCTCATCGACTCCTGTGCCGAACAAAAATGGCATTGCATGAAACACAAACAAATACAGCATATTGATTAAAAAATACTTCCACGCAACACTTAGAATAATGAAAGGGGGGAAAGACCTTCAAGATTCCATTATGATGTGGGTAGGAATAAGGTTATTGTAGAGTGAGTTTCTGGCTACAATCGATATATGTCACAGGCCAGAATTTTTGCTTACGACTCTATATGCCTTTCAGAAACAATAGTCCATTTGCTTGATGGCGTCATTTTAATTTTGCTGTGCGTATTTTCTTTGTCATTCAGATATTTATAAGACTTAGGAACTAGTGAATTAATGTTGTATTTCACTTTCAAAAAAGAAAAACGCAAAGCTTTCAGGTAGTTGTTACATATTACGTCATCATACTAACCGCCTATACTTGGTCCTATCCAAGGTTGTAACCAGGTCCGAGTCCCGACAACAAAGAGAAATCTTTGTGTAAAGAAGATAAGTTTAACACCGTAAAAAAGTATGGGAAATAACTTACTGACGTTTCGGATGTTAATCCTTCGTCGGAGTAAAGAGAAGGATTAACATCCGAAACGTCAGTAAGTTATTTCCCGTACTTTTTTACGGTGTTAAACTTATCTTCTTTACACAACTGTTTCTTTAGAAACACCGACGCAGCTCACACTAGTTTACCGCTAGTTCCCACCAAAGAGAAATCTTACCTGGTAACCAATACCAAAGTCCAGCCGTATGTTTGATGTATTGTGGCTTAGGAAAAATGATATTGTTGTTTGAATCTGTCACAATGACATTTAACCGATAGCCTTTGAAACCTGCATGTTGATAGCAGCCCCACTTGCTGCTATACATCACCTTGGACTCACATCTGAAACAGCAATATATAGTTTACATGATAGGGCAATGTGCGGCAAACGCCATTTTGTGTAACGACGCATGTTGGGCGGAGTGTAGCCCTCACACTTTTTCATGTTTAAAAATGTATTGTGCCATTTCTACAAAGACTGGAAAAAAACTGCTCTTTGGTAGAAAGTGCGAGGATTAAAGCTTCCATGATCCTTTGTTGCACAAAATGGCGCTATACATTGCTTTTTGATCGTGAACATCACAGACATGATTTTTTTGGACCTACCTTACTTCACCGCTGAGCCACTTGAGACGCAATCCCTTCACAAGTTTATTTGCTCCGTAGTGTTGAAAGTAGCCAGGTTGATCACCTCTTGCTTGGAAACAGATAGGATGAACACTAATCTTTGACCAAGCTACAAAACATACGAACTTCTGTTTAGCAGGTTGCACTGCGAGAAGATCAAATAGAAAGCTCGAGAAACTACAGGAACTTCCATATTAGGTCTAAAACACCGATCAGTAATACCACAAAGCTTTGAGATCTACATTGCTCAGCGCGAGTAAAGGCAACTTTAGGACTGGCAGTAGGGAGTCAAACATTGAGCAAGGACTGGTCAAATGAGAAATGTTCAATAACCCAACTGAACAGTAACATTGAGTTCAATCTGTGCAATGGCGACCCCACTCTCTTCCCTCGTCAAAACCGAGAAATAAAGATAACTGTCAACACCAGAATCTCTGAAGTCCGATCTAGAATCGTAATCGAACAGTGCCGCTAATTTGCTCCAGAACAATCCAATGACTCTGAAATGTACTAATGATAACTCTCAGATAACTGTATATCGTTAAACCAATTAGTTGGTATATTTCCGTACCTATCATCGTTTACTTTGGAAATGCTATTTGTTACATTTCTGAAAGGCTGAAGTCGTTACCATGGAGTTTTGTCTTTAGCAAACATTAAATTTTGTATCATCGGTATAGTTGTTTTCCATTTTTTTTTTCTATTTCATTTTATTCTATTGTTGTTGTTGTTGTTTTGTTTGTATTTTTTCCACTTCAAGTCCGTGTTTCCAAAGTCTAGTTTGCATCCAATGGAAACTCCATTATAGATTTTTTTAGATAGCGCTAATCGAGCCCGCTCTGAGCAACCCGGCCCAAATGCTTGCTGAGGATCACGCAAATTGGAAAAGAACAAAACAGCTGAGCAGAACATAGATAGGCAAAACATAGAGAGAGAAATAAGTACGGAAGATAATTAACAAACAGAACTAAACAGTGCAGTACAACATAGTATTAATTGTACCGTGCGCTTGTTGCTAATGAAGAAAAGAGAAGAGGTTCTAAAAAATGGACATCCGAGTATTAGCAAAGGAGTCGATGGAAACAGTAGAAAGAAAAAGTTTAAGTGAAAATATAGAATTGGCGCAGAATAAAACAAGAGAATGTACATGTTTTTCTCAATAAAAATCATATATCAAAGTTATAGACAACTATAATT